GAGAGCTACACCCACCCTGAGGTGGATAGTTTTGCATATTTAAGGGAGAAAAAAATGCTGCTTGCTGCCATTCCTCCCTTTTGCACTTGTTACTTTTGCTATCTTCTGCTGCTATGAACTGTTGCCCTTTGCCATGTGCTACTCTGCCTTGGAGGTAGTCAAGGATGGACTGAAACCTCCACAAACCGTAAGATAAATAAACCTTTCCTTCCTTAGTTTTGGGCATTAGGTATTTTGTCTCAGCAATGAGAGAAAGGTAACCAAGACACACTGGTACCAAAGTCAGACAAAGACTCAACCAGAAAAGAAAACAACAGGCCAATCTCCCTAATCAACATAAATACAAAACCACTCAATGAAATACTAGCAAACAGAATGCAACAAATCATCAAGAAGATTATACACCATGACCAAGTGAGATTCATCCCAGGGATGCAGGGATGGTTCAATATACACAAATCAATAAATGAAATACATCGTATCAACAAGCCAGAGACAAAACTACATAATCATCTCAGTAGATGCAGAAAAAGCTTTTCATAGTCAAGCACTCATTCATAATAAAAACCCTACAGAAAATTGGAACAGATGGTCTTTACCTCAACCTGATAAAAGCCATTCATGACAGACCAACACCCAACATCATACTAAGTGGATAATAAACTGAAAGCTCTAAAATTATGAACAAAGATAAGGATGTCTGCTATCATCACTCCTGTTCAACATAGTTCTGGAAATATTAGCCAGAGCAGTTAAGAAAGAGAAATAAAAGGAATAAGAATAGAAAGGTAAGAAGTTAAATTATCATTATTCACAGAACACATGATACTCTTCATGGAAGTTCCCAAAAATTCCACCAAAAGACTTCTAGATTTAATAAACCAATTCAGTAGCGTAGCAGGATACAAAGTCAACACTCAGAAATCAATAGCATTCTTGTACACAAACAACAAGAGAAACTAGGGAAACCACACCCTTCACAATAGCATCCAAAACAATGAAATACTTAGGAATCAATTTAACAAAGGAAGTGAAAGATCTATATGCTGAAAACTGCAATATTCTGAAAAAAGAGATAGAAGAGGATCTCAAAAAATGGAAAGATGGTCCTTGCTATTGGATAGGAAGAACCAACATTGTGAAAAGGGCCATACTCCCAAAACTCTTACACAAATTTAATGCAATCCCAATCAAAATACCATTAGTGTACCTCATAGATCTACAGAAAACATTCCTAAAATTCATTTGGAACCAGAAGAATAGAATGGCAAAGGCAGTCCTGGCCAACAAAGGCAAGGCAAGGAGGCATAACAATTTCTGACTTGAAATTATACTACAAAGCTGCTGTGATAAAATCAGCATGGTACTGGCAAAAAAACAGATCTTAGGATCACGGGAACAGAGTAAAAGATGGAGACATAATCTACAAATACACTCAGCCACCTTACCTTTGACAAAGGGACCAAACATGTTCACTGAAAGAAAGATAGGCTCTTTAACAAGTAGTGTGGGCAAAACTGGCTTTCCATATGCCGGAGACTAAAATTAGACCCATGTCTTTCACCATGCACTAAAGTAAAGTCAAAATGGATCAAAGATGTAAACACTAAAAC